AAGATACCAATTACGGAGTATTACTCCGTAAATATATATTCTCACATTTTATGGTCTCTCCATCTCAAAATGTGTACCACATTTCGAATAATATATAAACTATTATTTCTTTTAAAATGCTTTTATTTACAAATTAGTAGAAAAAATAAAAAGTATAAACTATTGCATTTTAAAGTATACCAAACTCCTACAAACAAGATGCGGCAAGAATATTGTATTAAATAGTCACCGAAACTCAGTAAACAAACAAATTTATCGAGAGACTGAAATAGTAATTGTGAAATTCTTTTTGGAACAGAGGGAGTATTTTTCAATCAACCATGCTAGGAGTACCCAAAGATTGTACTACATACAAAACGTACCCAAAGGTTTATACTTATGTTTTGATAGCTTACATTGAATCAAAATTTCACACTACTATTTTGTAGAAATTTAAACCATCAATCTCGCACTTATATTGATACAAAATATAAGTGTAACCTTTGGGGTATATTTTGAGATACATTTGGGGTATAAGTAGATTTATTCCTTTTCAACACTTCCATTCAAATGACATTGAACTTCAATATTATAACATGATATCCGGCGCTTGTGGTGCTACATTTATAAAATAAATAGATCATATTCTCTCTGTAATACCTAGGTCTAATTAGATTTGTGTTGATCTTAGATGTGAGTTAGGCTTTGTTACAACACCTACTAGACAGAATGTAAAAAATATAACAAGCGTAAAGAGTGACACAAGATGTAAATTATATCGATTAGTTTGAAAAATATTTATTTTATCAAATGATCAATAAAAATACATATAAATTAAAGTTATCAAAAACTTGGAATAATAAAGAGAATTGTTTTTGGAAGGGATGGAGTATTTTAAAATTTTGACGTGGTCACATGGATATAGGTTAAGGCTATGTGGTATGGTAGCTCAAAAAGTGAGGGGTGATGAGTGATAATTGGACATAAAGATATACTCCCTCCGTCCCATGAAACATGGGACTTTTGCTTTTTAGGAGGGATTTAAGGGGAGTGTATTTTGGTATTGAATTTTTAAAAATGTCCTTTGATGTGAAAGGTAAAAGTATGATTTGATGGATAGATTATTAGTAAAAAGGTATGATGTGATAGTTAGGGTATGAAAAAGTAAGGGGTAAAAGTGATTTTTTAATAGAAATGAGAAGTGTTTTGTGGGACGGATAAAAAAAGAAAGGAGAAAGGTTTTATGGGACGGCGGGAGTATGATTTAGAGCGATAAAAAATATATTCGTACTACCTCCGTCCCATAGTATTTGTCTACTTTCATTTTTACACATCATCTAATACACTTCTTTAATCCATTTTATCTTGTAATTTGTATATTAAAAAATTATAGAAATTATATATTAATAATCTATATGTTAAGACAAATCAAACAAGATTACACATGATTATATTTAGGCTTACACATTGAATGAATTTGATGAGTCAAAGTGCTTAGATGAACAGTTCCAAAAGTCAAAAGTGAACGAATATAGCGGGACGGAGGGAGTATATGATATGATAGGTGTGAAGATGTTCTAAACTTTACTTAGTTTGATATTAAAAAAATTGAAAAATTAAAATGAAAAGGGGGCAATATGGTGACCACGGTCACCTCTCATGAGTCACCCCTTGTCCCCTTTCACTCTAAAGGTGGTCCGGAAAAACTAGGGGGTGATGGGGCGGGGAAGAGGATCACGTCTCCTTCCTCCCGCCTCATACCACATGGCGTGAGTAATTTCGCCCATCCTTTATTGCCCCTTTCTTCCACTTTTTTGTAGCCTTTTTTGTACACAGTTTTTAGTGCAGTCTATCCATGACTTAAGAAATCTCGCCCATCCTCTATTGCCTCCTTTCCCTCATGTTTTATAATCTCACTGGTTTTAAAAATCTTTTCTGTTTTTAGTTTTTTTGGTCAAACAGTAATATCCTTTGACTAGAAATGGTGAGAAAAATATATTTAATTATATTATAAATTCAATATAATTGAAATTATCTAGGATATAATTTTGATACATTAAATCTTTATATCATTTATTTGTTTAAATTATATTTAAGTTATGACCAAATGTACTCCGTATTAGTTTGATCAAAAAAAGCTAAAACAAAAAAAATTTAGGATCGAAACGAATAGATTTTTTCGTATACGGTTTTTAGTGATGTCTGTCATTTTAGCTTTTGCACTTTTTTCTCAATTCTTTGTCCATCCCTTGTTGGTATCAAGACTGTCCCACAATGGCATTGAGTTTTTACCTTTCCACTCTTTTAAGACTCGTTTGGTAAGCCGATAAAATACAAGTTCTGATATTTAATTTATTTCTAGCAAAAGTCTTTGGTAAGTATTTGGTGAAATTCAAACAAAATTCAAATTCCATATCTTCTAATATTGCAATCTTCCCAAATAAACATCCATTAACGATAGAAAAGTATTCGATCCCACCTCCAAATGAATCGAATAGTAATTGATATATAAGCTCTTAAGTTGAACTAAGTGATCCATTACATAGTTCAACTCAAGAGCTTATATATCGATTATTTTCCTAATCAACTTTTGATGTGGGATAGATTCAAACAACAATATGAGAAAATAGATAACTAAATTTGAACATAGACATTACATAAAATGGGAAAAAATAGTGTTTGTAGAACACTCCACTCCATCTATGTACTAGTTCTTACATAGAGCTTCTTCTTAATTGAGGGATGTGTAAATTAATATTTCTCAAAGTTGACATTGTTGTCCTTTTGTCGGTACAATTAGGTTCTTTCAATAATGTAATTGCATCATCAAGCAAGCATTTTAATGTTTTCCATCGCCACTCTGAAGAGGTCATCAGAGTCTTGGGCAGTGTGAGGCTGCCGAGAAACGGTACTGCCCTGGCTGAATAGTATCATTGGGCGGCATAGCTTTTCTGCAGCCACGCATTGCCCCAGACTACGATGACCTCTTTAGAGTGGCAATGGTAAACATTGTAATGCTCGCTAGGTGATGCAATTACATTATTGAAAGAATCTAATTGTACGGACAAAAGAACAACAATGTCGACTTTGAGAAATATTAATTTACACATCCCTCAATTAAGATTTAGCTCTATGTAAGAATTAGTATATAGATGGAGTGGAATAAATGACTATAATATTGTAGAGTGGGATGCATAACACCAAAATCAGCCCCTCCTTTGGTTTCGAGGCTCATAAATGGAGTTCCAAATGAGGTATCATTCGCCCTGCAACGAAAAGAAACAAATAAATAGTTCAAATTCAACAATTCATCTAATCTCCATATAAATAAAATTAAATAGAACAAAAAAAATATAAGAGCATATCTCTTTATTTCTTGATTATTTTCAACTCACCCTGGCATGTAACAATAATCCAAAGGAGCCATTGCGATTTAATTTGAATATGTGTGTCCGGCCTCCACAAAAGAATCAAACTGCAGATATGAATATTGTTTATTAATGCATTTATTTTAATCATAATAAATGTTTAAATAAAGTTCGAACCATAACATTTGCTACGCATATGTTCTCTATGTGTATGTTATGTTGTAATACCATGTACTGCAACCAATTTATAGATCCAAAAACACATAAATAAATTATTTTTCGATTATCTGTTACAGTGAACGTACAATATTTTATTAAATCATTGGCAAGTAAAATTGATAATAATTAATTAATTACTTGATTAATACCTTTTGTGTGTAGTGTCCAATAATAATGGTGTTACCATTTGGTCAGGGTCACCTTTGTCTCCAAACACAGATACCTCCGAGAAATATTCTCAGCTTGCAAATGTAAGTGCGGGTGAACTGTTTCGGTGTTGGTCGGCAATGGGAGGGTAGTACTCGGCGGCGGTACCATTTTCCGGCGAGCCATTACGCCGGAAAACTCCGGCGATCTCTTTCAAGGGTAGATTGTATAAATTGTAGCTAGACAATGCTACCGCAATTACATTTAAAGAATGTTACTGCATTATGTATTAATAGATATCGAAAATGAACCAAGAGTAATGGAAGAAAGAAGAATTGAAGATGTTTAGAAAGAGAAATGGAAGAAAGAAGAATTGAAGATGTTTAGAAAGAGATCGAAATGAAAGAAAGAAGAATTGAAGATGTTTAGATCGAATAGATCTGCATACATGGGTGGGGTTTATATAGGAAGAAGAAGATAATATCTACCCCTGCCTGATTTTTTTGTGGATAAAGCTATTTGTACTCCAAGATTTTGTACCCCACTTTGTAACCCGCAATTTTACACCTGATGGGTGTATTTCACCCATGACCGGTCAAGGATCGGAATCAGAAAATTGACCGGTCAAAGAAGTCGAACTCGAAAGGGAGATCTGAATCGTCAGCAAAGGGATGGCTGGTTGACCGAAAAGTTGACCGGTACACTTCGGGTTAGTATACCAGTCAAACTACTCCATCGCCTAAGTTCATCCTCCGAAGTTAGCCAAACCAACCCTCAAGGATCACCCGGTCTAGTTTCCGAATATCGGAGAGCGTCGGCAGGAAGAATCCAAAAGAGGCTTGGACTGTAGTGGTTGGCGTTGCGGAGATGCTGAAGGAATATTTCCGAACCAGAACACGACAAAGGCGCAGCCCCCCACGCAAGATAACAAGGCTGCTCAGAACTAGTCGCCTCACACCCCAGTGGCAGCGTGCCCCCACGTGGGCGCACGTGGTCCTGTCCCCCCAACTTAGTATATATACCTCTTGTAACCCTCGAAGAAGGGGATCC